AAGAGGGCAACGCATGATGCACCCGTTTGCACATTGATTAATTAATAAAAAGGGACGACTACCGGCACACTTTTGAGAATCTTTAATAGGAGTGTCACATGATTAGATATGTAAGGCAAACTAATAAGACGTTATCACGTTACATAAGAGCAAACGAACAAAATGATGGCACATTGACACGAGCAATGTCGGTTTAACCAAACAACAAAATAGTTTTTGTGTGTGTGTGTGTGAGAGAGAGAGAGAGAGAGAGAGATAGGCCAAAGAAAGACACTGCTCCCACTGAAGTTTTTCCCATGACACGCCACATTCATCAGAAAAGCATACTAAAAAGAGGCCTCTCTAGCACACAGTTTTTTCGTTGTGATGCTAAACCTTCCTTTCTATTCCTTTCTCTAGCTGAGTAAGAAATAGATGCCTCATGACTCATCAATGACTCTTAGTTGCTTAAGCTAATCAGATCAGTAACGCGTGTCAGAAAAACAGCATCTTCCATATCTTTTGCATACTATTCCTGTTCAAAGCTCGAAAGTAATGATTGCCAGAATATTCTCAAAGACAGTCGCTCACAGGCGCATCGGTGGGTGTCCATGCATGCGGATGCGGACTACTGCCCTAAAATGCCAGTAGAAATATGAACTCAAGTGAAATTATCTCATGGTTGGAATAGGAAGTTCGAAGAGTCTCATGTGTTACTCTTTTTAACCTACCAAAGGTACGAGACATCGTCCCTAATATGTCAGAGAGACAGATGTACATTGCATTTGGGAAGCTGGCAAGGTATTTTTTAGTATGTTTTGTGATAACCTTTACCATCAGGACTTTTAGCCGTTGCATCGTTAGTCAAAAATATAATAAAACGTTATTTAACGACTAAAAATCTCTACGTATATAGAAGAATACATCGAAACATAGTAGAGTTTTCAAGCTAGAAACCCTTGGATCAAAAAGAGGGAAATACAGTACTCGGGAGATGGGTCCCCGCAGAGCCTATGTTTGTACCCGAATTAATAAATTTGTTGACATCAGGCACCTCTTGGGACCCAATTGTAAATTCAAATTGCTTAATTAGGCTCGAGCTTAATCTCAAACTGATTTGAAATTACTTTTAAAATAATTTAAAAAATTTAGAGAAAATATTTATAAAACCAATTCTTAATAAAAATTCAAGTGAATTGTAAAAAAACACTTCAAGTGCTTTATGCATAAAATACATAACTGGTGTTTCTTGCAAGAAATACTTTAAGTATTTTTAGAATTCAAATTAAAAAAAATAAAAAAAAACTGTTTCGGTTATTTTAAAAACAGTTTCAAATGAGCCATACAACCAAAAGATAAATATTGGAAATTTAATCTACCAAAGAATGAATCAACAATGTACATTCTACTCTAAAAACACTAGAAGATAATGGTAAAAAGAAGAATATCGAGGTTTATCGATACAAAATTCGTCATGCACAAATAATTTCCACGGAGCTAATGCAAATTTTTAGCAAAAATGAGTAACAATTTACTTTATTTTCATTATCATATTAACCAAATTACAACGGACCAACCTACAAGGCTACTACACCATTATAATTCAGACAGATAAATTAAGGCCAAAGAGAAAAAAAAATTAAAGAGAGATTTGAAGAGAGAGAGAGAGAGAGAGAGAGAGAGAGAGAATTTACTTCCCATCTGTGTTCTTTCAGCTTTAACTTCAAGTGTCAGTGAACAGAAACCCTTGTTCCTCAAGGGCATTTTTGGAAATGTAAAATCAGCAGTAGGCAACTCCCATCTCTTTCTGTCTTGGTTTTCTTCCTCTTCAATTGTTTGCTCAGTCGTAGATCCGTGAATCTGCCACCACATTATTAATTCCACCTTCCTTGTCTGCTTCCGTTTCCGTCAAAACAAACAGAGCATAACAGAAAACAGAGCAACACTGAAAACAGTGTAAACTAATGGGTGGCTAGCCACCAGCTGGACTGAGCTGGACGCCGTATGGGGAGGAGGGTTATAATAGTAAAACGGAAAGTACGGCACAATTGGGTTCGGCGGCGGTGGCACTGGGTAGTTCTTGCCGTTCGGCGGAGGATAAAACGCACCCCCGCCACCCCCGCTGCCGCCTTGCGGTGGCGGGTAGTTGTAGTAAGTGGGCTGGGAAGGTGGCGGAGGAGAGTAGTAGGTGGTTCCGGAGCTCGGTGGCGTGGGAGGCGGCGGACAGTTGGAGGATGAGGATGGCGGAGAAGGCGGCGGAGATGAGGGCGGAGGAGGTGACGGTGGAGGAGGGGATGGCACTTTGCCACATGGGTTTTCGCAGACAGAGCACATTTCGCATTCGATCTGCTCCTTGGAAGTCACTTTAGGCTTCGGCAGCGGCGAAGAAAGCGTTGTGGTGGCGACGGTGAGTAGAAGTAGAAGCTTGAAAGAGAAGTGGGTCTGATGAGTAAATTTCATGGTTAGCTCAGAAAGATCAAGAAAAAGTAGAGAACAATGGAAAAATGGAGTGGGAAGTGGAGGAGTGAGAGTGTTGATAGACTTTAAGAGAGAGAGAGAGAGAGAGAAGGCGCGGGGGCAAGTAATGGTCTTGTCTTGAAGCTACACCACATCTTTTTGTAAGAGTGGGTTTAAATAAGGGGTGTGTAAATACTAAATAGTAGAGTGAGACGAAGGAGCTGGTTAAAGTTGTAAAAAGAGGACACCGAACCGACGCGTTTTACTTTCACAGAAAGTGGCCTCATATTACTCGGAGGACGTTTAGGGCAAAAGTCCAGAATTTGAGCTTAAAGCTTAGCTAATAGATGGGGGGTGGTGGGGTGGGCGTGGGGGGCGCCTTTGATTTTTAGGGGGGGTATCCCTTGTCCTCAATTTCGGCCTAAGCAGAGGAAAGGTGACGTGTATTAACCTTTTTTTCAGTTACATGGGTTGTATTATCCTAATGCCATAGGTGACATGTAACGAAATGTACTACGAATGTGCAATGTTGGGAGTTGATGAGTTTTTCAAGCATGAGAGTAGCTGACACATGAAAAGATGGATTGTATATGCGCATGAGTTGAGCCCTATTTTGTTTCATGTCACTAGAGAGACGGAAACATTAATTTTCTAGTGTGTGGAATTTACATTCTCATTAAATAGCGCGTGAGCACATGAGCTGTTGAGATCGGTATGATTAATATTTACTTTGAAACCGTATTAAAACCAGAGTATCTAACCCAAAACCAAGGATTTGGATCCTCTCCGAGGCAACTGATCAGGATTCTCCTGACCAGTGTTCTTGGACCGTTGGATTTTTATCCAACGACTACAATTATTATAACTTTTAGAGAGCCCCTTGTTTGTAGCCATCGGATAAAAATTCAACGGTCCACAAATACTGATAAGGAGGATCTGACCAGTTGCCTCAGAGAGGATCCAAATCCCAAAGGACAAGGATTGTCTGCCCTCCCACTTCCGATGCCTTCCCGTGCCCTCCAGTTTGTATGGTCACGGTTAAGCCACGTCAACATTTTATATTACTATTCATTTTTTGTCTTATTATCTTTATAAAAAAAATAATATAAAATGTTAGTGTGGCTTAACCATGACCATACAAAACAAGAGGGAACGAGAGGGCATCGGAAATGGGAGGGCAATCAATCCTTTTCCAATCCCAAAACCAATGCGTTGTGGTTGCAGAAAGGAAAGTAATGATGATGTGTTGAAATGATGGGAATCCATTTAGTTCAGTAGGGTACACTCGTGATTAATTAGTTGCTAATGACTTGGTATACTTTGCTAGTGAGTAATGAGCTGTGTTAAAAGGAAGGGATATTTTGATATGGGTTCAAAGTAATTAAAAATTAGACATATTTTAAAAGTTAAAAATCATTAAAAATTAAATCTACTTCAAAACTAGAACTATAAAATTGAGTCTATTTCAAATTTTCTCTAAAAGGAAACGGTGAAAAGGTTGAGGAATTAGCACAATCATTATTGTTGGGCTTGACTTGTACACAGATGTTCATACGTGGAAGGATGACATTTGAGGTGCCGCAGACGTAAACAAGACGCAAGCTCCACGTGGGGTGTGCATGGTATTTTACTAGCATTCAGCCAGATATATTTAGTACACCAAATACTATTGCACTGGAGGATGATTTAAGCAAGAGAATTCTCTTCGGATTCTCTTGGAGGATTCTAGGGATTCGTGAATAATGTTTATTTATCGTATATTGTAAAATTAGTTTTTGTCAGGTACTGTTTGTATTTAATTTTAAATAAAAATATTTAAAATGATTTTTGATCGCATGATGTACGATGAACGGACCGATTCACAGCTTTCTTGTTTTTGTGATCAACAAAAATATGAACGGCAAAGCTATACATACATATACATATACATACATACATATATATATATATATCTCTCTCTCTCTCCAAATGCATGCATAATGGAACATCACATATATATCGACAAATTTTGAAACACGATACCTTCATTTTCAACTTGGCTAAGTAGATAACTTCAGCTCAATCACGTTTGAAATCCTAACTTCGTCTCTGCATATATATTCCTAAGCTGGTATAAAATGGACAAGAAAGATTTAAGTTTGTCAAAATTATACGTAGGAACAACATTGAATTATTATATATACATGTTCATATTCGACCGATTTTGTCAAGAAATAAGTGATGAGGAATGAGTTGTTAAAGGACACATATATAGATATGGGCCAGCTGGCATGCATAAAATAAAATAAAAAGATTCTGCTCTTTTTGGTTGGAAAATTGATAAATCAGATTGTTAACTTGTTAATTTGTTAAGTTAATACTCAGTTAATTAGCTCTTGGTTAATTAATTATTAGAAGTTTTTTTGTCCAAAATGATTAGTTATACGTACGATTTCTTACTTCCCACCGGCCACCGAGTAATTAGGGTTGACAATTCCTCACTGAAGCAAATTTAATAACTGGGAACGTAAATGAAGCAAAAAAACTTGCGAGCATAGAGCATGGAGCTACAGAATATGCACGTATGATGCCAAGAAAAGTTATTCATCAAACATTAATGTTTGGGAAATGTTTGAAATGCACGGTTCCATCTTATGTAAGGTAATGCTGTATCAGTGATCAAGCTGCTAAAAGCGTGCATATTGATACAAAAGCATTGAGTAGGGATGTATAAGACAAAACATCAGGCCGGAAACTACTTTTCTTAATCTCATTAAAAACTGATACGCCTTTAACCACAAGGTGTGGCGCGATTGGCAAATCAAATCATCAGTGGGCGGATTCCTTGGTGCCTAACTGGCAGGGGTTTGAAACTCACTGAAAACACTTTGTGGCCAGAGGCAAGCCACACCTCGAGCGTAGATTAGTCCCATCCTACGGGTGTGGGGACACTGCCTGGTACCTGGACCGAACAAAAAAAAAGCTGATACGCCTCTTTGCTCATCCCATGTGAAGCATATGAACCTAATAGTGCATTATATGAAACAGTGATAGGTTTTAGGCCTTATGTAATAATAAGGCTTCTTGTTCTAAAAGACTGACATAACTTAGAAATTACAAATGCATTTGTCTCCACTGCATTCTATCTATTAAAACCTAAAAAAAAGCTGATACGCCTCTTTGCTCATCCCATGTGAAGCATATGAACCTAATAGTGCATTATATGAAACAGTGATAGGTTTTAGGCCTTATTTAATAATAAGGCTTCTTGTTCTAAAAGACTGACATAACTTAGAAATTACAAATGCATTTGTCTCCACTGCATTCTATCTATTAAAACCTAAAAAAAAGCTGATACGCCTCTTTGCTCATCCCATGTGAAGCATATGAACCTAATAGTGCATTATATGAAACAGTGATAGGTTTTAGGCCTTATTTAATAATAAGGCTTCTTGTTCTAAAAGACTGACATAACTTAGAAATTACAAATGCATTTGTCTCCACTGCATTCTATCTATTAAAACCTAATAGTCTTCAGAGGGCAGTTTTTAGTCGCGTGGTCTTTCTCCTTTCCACAACATTCACAAGGACCATATCTAAGTTTTGCTTCTTCTTCAGGTGTGAGTTTAGTCCCAGAGCCAGCAGCCTTTCGTTCATTGAATTCTTCCACTGTTTGTTTGTGGTTCCGTTGTTAAATACCCACAAATTGAGTAAAACAAATGGCAGTATTTTCCCCTCAAAACACAGAGGATCGACGAGTCCAATAAAACTTCACAAAACCGTAAAACAAAAATAATCAAGAGCGTACCTATAGCCAGCCAATGCGCGAAGTTGTCCGCAGGGCGACACTCTTCATAATAAGTTGACGATGAGAAAACCAGAGAAGAAAAAAACAGTCGGTATATGAATGGGGTAAATATTTAGATGTTTATTCTTCTCCAAGATGGAGGTACTCAAAGTAAATATAATGAAACAATTATATATCAAACACGAAATGAGCATTCAAAAGCAACAAGAACTAGGAAACTACGTATATACAAATGGTCAAACTATTGAGCCAGTTACACAATTCCCAGGCAACTAATTCCTGGCACAATTTCAATGGGAAGCAAGCTAGACATGCTGACTTACTATATATTTTCTCGATTTCATTCAAATACTGCAAACAGAAATTTTACTACAAAAACCCTCAAAGTATAGAAAATAAAGAAAAATCAAAAGCATACCATAATGAGTCAACGGTGAACACGATCCTTTTTGAATTTCATCAACCACAACTTGGCGAGAGTCTTGAACCTTTGGTTGTTCTTCTGCCTTGCTATCTGTTTTCACATTGCAGTTCCATTTTAATGTCAAATACAAATAAAAACAATGGGAGATGACGAGAACGACAAAGCCAAAAAGCTCAGTAAATATGGGGAACATGTACAAGCAACTAGAATTAGGAAACATAAGGACACTACAAGACTGAGTATATACACAAAGTCAAACTATTGAGCCAGTTACACAAATTCCCAGGCTACTAATTCCTGGCACAATTCAATGGGAATCAATCTAGACATATTGACTCACTATATATTTTCTCGATTTCAGTCAAATACTGCAAACATAAATTTTACTACAGAAACCCTGAAAGTAAAGAAAATAAAGAAAAATCAAAAGCATACCTTTGGGCACATCATAAGTAGACGCTGAAGAGTATCTTCTTTGAACTATATCAAGCAAAGATCGGTAACAATATGGAACCTTTGCCTGTTCTTCTGCCTCGCTATCTGTTTTCACATAGCAGTTCCATTTTGATGTCGAATACAAATAAAAACAATGGGAGACGACGAGAACGACAAAGCCAAAAAGCTCGGTATATATGGGAAACATGTACAAGCAACTAAAATTAGGAAACAAAAGAGAACTAGTGTATATACACATAGTCAAACTACTGAGCCAGTTACCCAAATTCCCAGGCTACTAATTCCTGGCACAATTTCAATGTGAATCAAGCTAGACATACTAACTCACTATATATTTTCTCGATTTCAGTCAAATACTGCAAACATAAATTTTACTACAGAAACCCTGAAAGTAAAGAAAAATCAAAAGCATACCTTTGGGCACATCATAAGTAGACGCTGAAGAGTATCTTCTTTGAATTCTATCAAACACAGGTCGGTAACAATCTGGAACCTTTGCTTGTTCTTCTGCCTCACTATCTGTTTTCACATTGCAGTTCTATTTTGATGTCGAATACAAATAAAAACAATGGGAGACGACAAGAATGACAAAGCCAAAAAGCTTGGTATATATGGGAAACATGTATAAGCAACTAAAATTAGGAAACATAAGAGAACTAGGAATAAGAAAACTCATGTCCCCGGGGGGGGAGGGTGAAGGGAATGCCAAGGCTCGTATGGTAGGCACACCTGAAGCTTTTTGCCAGTCTGTAAAGTATTGAGGCAATTACACAAATTCTAAGGCAACAATTCTGATGCAGACAAAGTAGCAGTTACATACATGAATTATAGTGATAAAAATCATGCACGAGGAAGTCGATGCATTGCATTAGAAAGTAATTTTAGCCTTAATAATATTCCATGTACTAGGATTATCTACGAGTCATCACAAGTATTTGGTGAGGGGAAATCATCATCCTTCCATATATGAATACAAGTCAAGCCCAACGACAATGAGTGCTAATCCCTCAACCGTTTCCTTTTAACAGCTTATTACACACTAGCAAAGTATAATTAGATATTAGCAACTAATTAAACACGAGTGTGCCCTGCTGAACCAAATGGATTCCAACCGTTTCAACACAACATCATTACTTTCCATCTAACTTGCCACCAATGTGAACACAACTCATTTCAACCCATCATTATAAATGGTTATGGGTCTAAAGCCGCAAGTGGCGTTTTGGAACTGATGGTTAAAGATAATGTCAATTTCACTGTGGCATTTACTGCCCTTCTAACAGTAGCACTATTGGACGCTTGTGCAAGAAGGGTGCTATTGGTTCGACATTTAAGCATGAGATTGAATTGTTTGTTTAATCAAATATCCTCAACCTACATTGGGCATACCATGCTCACAAAATTGCAAGAACAGAGCATGTTCCTTATCTATAAAATTAAATCTGTGCCAGCACATGCAATCAGGAATTGGGCAGAGTAAGTGAGTGATTTTGAGTTGCTTTAATTTCATTACTATTGGTATTTGTAGAAGTTAACCGAGGTTTGTTCTTTTTTTTTTTTTTTTTTTTTGTGGCAAGGGCATGGGGAAGGGAATAAGTGACCCATTGGTGGCTATAGACCACCCTCTCATTGAGCTGATGGGGGATTTCTATACACAAAAGGGTACTTTTAAAACCAAATGGGTAGCTGGCTTTCAAATGAGCACAAAGAGTCACAGTTCTCCCAATTTTTGCTTGGTCAATTGAAGGTATGAGAAGCTTTATGGTTAATGGTAGACTGTTTCATATATTTGACAAGAAAAAAAAGACTTGGAGAATTTCGTAGTAATCAAGAACACGTGTGATACTTCAAAAGACAACTATTGGTGTGGTTGGGTGCTTAATTACTACGAAATTCTCCAAGTCTTCCTTTCTTGTCAAATATATATGAAACAGTGCACCATTAACCATAAAGCTTCTCATACCTTCAATTGACCGAGCAAAAATTGGGAGAACTGTAACTCTTTGTGCTCCTTTGAAAGCCAATGAAGCTAACCATTTGGTTTTAGAAGTAACCTTCTGTGTATAGAAACCCACCATCAGCTCAATGAGAGGGTGGCCTAGAGCCACCAATGGGTCACTCATTCCCCTCCCCATACCCTTGCCACAGAAAAAAAAAAAAAAAAAAAAAAAAACAAAACTCGGTTAACTTCTACAAATAACAATAGTAATAAAATTAAAGCAACCCAAAATCACTCACTTACTCTATCCAATTACTGATCGCATGTGCTGACACAAATTTAATTTTATAGATAAGGAAAGCATTGTTATAGACAAAATAATCGTCCAAGAGATCCTTGCTTCTATCAATGTTTGCGGAACACCTGAGCCTAGAGATCTCAACCACAGCTTGGATGACTCAACAAGAATGTAAGGCTCTTTAGCTTCTTGCTTCGTCATCTCTCCTTCTACACTTCTCATCCTCATTCCTTCCCATTTTCTCATTCCTGGAGATTGAACATTTTTTTCTCCTTACTTAAACCATTCTTTCTCTTGCTCATCAATTTCTCACAACATCCTTGAAAAAGACATTGTAAAAAGGAAGGAGAAACTATGAATAAGGATAGACATTTTGAGAGGTTTTGAATTTGGTATGTAATTTCTTAGTAATTTCTGATGCATGGGCTGTAGTAAATTTCTAATGCATAGTAATTTCTGAAGCATTAGTACTCTCATCAAATTTTGAAACACGATAACTATATTCAACAAAAGAAATCTTGGCTAACAAAGTTAGGACGAAAGATAAGTTCAGCTCAGCCCAGTATACGTTTGAAATCCTAGCTTCGTCTCTGCATATATATTCTTAATCTGGTATAAAATAGACAAGAAAGAATAAGTTTGTCAAATTATACGTAGGAACAACATTGTATTATTATGGGGTTTTTGAACTTTAATCCTTGAAGAATATTAAAATTTAATAAAAACCTCATGTTAGATTGGATATTGATTTTAGTCCTCTAATGTATACTTAATTCAAATTTATATTACATTTTTGTTTTAATATTTAATAGATATCTTATTTAATATCATTACATTAAACTTAAAACAAGGAGTAGAGAAAATACCTCTCAGATCTGGAAGCTCGAACTCTTGGTTCAAGCGAGAGCGGCAGAGGCAGTGAGAAATGAAAGCGTAGGGTTTGAGGCGCAACGTGACTTATTTATAGGCTGAGGGGGGTTTGGGAAAATATTTAGGTTTGGTAGCTCGGACTGTACTGACTATTTTTGTGGGATAGAAAAAATAGTCACCGGATAGTACTGACTAAATTAGTCGAGCGTTTGGTGCAATATCAGACTAATAACCGTATTATTTATACTATGTTTGGTACTGAACCGGATAAGAAAAGGGGAGAACAAAAATTTTAACAAAAAAGGTTCACGAAGAAACTGCTCAATTATCAGTACAAAGTTTTCATCTGTTCTTCAAATTAAACATTTTTTTATTGCTTAAAGTGCAAAAATAAATCAGTAAATAAATCAAATTAATTTAAATTGTTGGAATGCAATTTGGTATAAGCTGATTACCCTTGCAATGGAGCTGAATTATTGTACTTGCTAGAGTAGAACTCGATCAGTGTCAGTTCTGTAATGCACACCAACAATCGGAGTCAAATTCGGACAAGTTAAAATCGAAGAAAGCATCGACAATCGAGTTCTAGGCTTGGAGGCTGTTTGGCTGCCGAGAAAATGCAGGAAAAAAAACAGAAATAGTAGGAAAAAACAGTATCTTCCTAGGGAGATTTTAAAAGAGAGGAGAGAGAGTGTACCGGAATTGGAGGCTCGAACGACGTCGTTGTAGAACAATCTGTCGTTGAGATCGGGCCACAGCAATCCAAACGTCTGAGGCTGACATGCTCGCGAGGAGCTATATCTGGGAAGAAGAATAATATTTTCCAAGAACAGAGGGAGGGCGGATCTGGGAAGAAGAAGAAAATTGAAAAGACGAACTGGGATTCAAACGAAGAAGAAGAATTTGAGAAGACGAACCTGGGATTCAGACGAGAGAGCAAGAGTGCGTCTGGAGAGGAAGAGAGAACGTCTGGAGACCGAGAGTGCGTCTGGAGAGGAAGGAGAGAGCGAGGGATTTCAGCCTGACTAAATTGTACCGTGGTTTTCAACGGTATAAGCAAGCGGGTAAAGACCGGATAAAAAAGGTAGGCCGGATTATTTAATCCGGTGGCTATTTAATTCAAATGGACACCAAACATCGTATTCTGTATTATTAGTACTATCTGATGCCTTATATAATATGCCAAACAGGGCCTTAGGGTTTGCTTTGGAGGCCGCTTGCCGGTTTACTTGTTTGCCCCTGAGTGGTATCCGAAATGACGAGTTTGCCTTAGGGTTGAGAGGTAGAGTAATTTCAGAGCCCCCACTTAACAAACAGGAACCCGATTCTTCTGCATTACATACATACATATACATATATAGGAATTGCTTAAGGGGAGGGATCCCCATTTTTTCAAAAAAATAGGGACACGCTCCCCACCGTTGGATTTGAATTAAATGAAATCCTGTGGTTGAGATTCTATGGCCTGTGTTTTAATCTCAACCACACAATTTCATTAAAGTCAATCTAACGGTGGGGAGCGTGTCCCCATTTTTTTTGAAAAAATGGGGATCCCTCCCCTTAAGCTCCCTGTACATATATATATGTATGTATGTATGTATGTATATATTTATTTAAAATAAAACACAATACGAAATTTATAGTTCAAGTAGTTAAGAATTATTAGTTTCATCCGAAATCTTGTGTTTGATTTCTCTGCGATTTTTAATTAGGATGAGTTGGCCTTACTGGGAGGGAAATGAATGAACCTCTCTTGCCATTTGGTGCCAACCGACCAACAAGCAACTCCATAGATAAGTTCGTATGAATTGACATAAATGTTACAGCTAAATAATTATTCACAATAGGGTTCTAATTTATAATTTAATCAGATCAACATATATATATATATATATATTTGAAATATATGTATGGAAATATTATAAGCACATCACAATTATTATGGGTTCTACAATCTGCTTATAGTGGTCACTGTAGATATTGAAATTTCGATGAAATAAATGTTGACCAATAGTTACTATTTCAACGCTCACGTGTCATAAATTTTACACGTAGCGTGTGACTAAACGAAAAATCAAAATAAATCGGAAAAATCATCAAGCAGGACACGTGTCAACACCTGGCAGAAACGATTTATTTCATCTGCATATTATATTCAAAATTAGGCCTTGAAAAATTCTATAAATAGAAGTCATTTCATTCATTTTAGGGGGAATTCATAACCAATCCAAGACCAATAGATGATCAATTCATATTACACCAAAACCTTGAAGCTCTGAAGCTCTGAAACTCCGAAGCTCTCAAGCATCCAGGTTCCTGAAGAATCAAGAAAGCCCTCTTCGTTCTTTGTTCATCGTTCTTCCAAGATCAAGCCCCGACAACTATTGAAGAAAGTGTTCATCGGTCATCATCCGTTCATCCTAAGATCAAGCCCCAACGGCCCTTTGGATCAACAATGTCGACAAATCCACACATCCAACCGTCCTTCAAGATCAAAGCCCAAAAGCCCTTGAAGATCCGTTCATCACCGTTATTCAAGATCAAGCCCAAAAGCCCTTGAAAATCCGTCAATCATTGTTCTTCAAGATCAAAGCCCAAAAGCCCTTGAAGATCCGTTCATCACTGTTTTTCAAGATCAAGCCCAAAAGCCCTTGAAGATCTGTTCATCACTGTTATTCAAGATCAAGCATCAACGGCCCTTGAAGAAACGCTCATCCTTAAGATCAAGCCCCAACGACTCCTTGAAGATCCGCTCAAATCCACCTTCAAGATCAAGCCCACGGCCCTTGAAGAACGTTCATCCTTAGATCAAGCCTAACAGCCATTTGGATCAATCCCACATCCACAAATCAATACCCTACGGATATCGAATCAGATGATCAAATTTGAGAGAGATTGTAACCCAAAATCATCAAATACAAAATATTATTTTGTACACGTGTTCTTGTCTCGTTTGTCGTAGGAAAATTTTGTGTTTACAAATTTGGCACGCCCAGTGAGACCATCTCTACCTCTCATCTCTTTCTTCGTTCAAGAAATTCAAGCACACTTCCAAAATCAATGGCATCAAGACAGGCTCAAACTGTTCCCGCAACCGGCGCAAAGAACAAGAGCGTCCTCGTCGCAAGTGGTGTCACTTTAGGCATCACGACTCAAAGCAAGGCAATAGCTACTTCTGCCGCCTATTTCACCTCTGCATCAACTCTGTCAAGGGAACAAGAGCACCCAAAGCACGAGTCTGTGATCACCTTAGCCTCACTAAGGGCACCAAGGGGGAAAGCCCAAGGAAATACTCTGAATCCATGCTCTCCGATGCCGATTCAAGAGGCAGTTCAGCCATGCAAGTCATGACCTCTGGAGCAACTTCAATCGATGAGCAACTGGCTTAGATGAATGAAGCAATCGCAAGGTTAACCCGAACTGTGGAAGAAAAAGACTTGCAAATTGCTGAACTCGTCAACCAACTGGGGCCACAGAACGGCGATAACCCCGACTCAGAGGATGATCCACTAAAGAGAGGAGCTGGCAAAGAAGAGGAGCCTCAGGTGGAGAAAATCGATGTGAAGCCGGAGCCAGACCAAGCAGCGGCACTCATGGGATCTCTTTCTATCCAGCAGCTACAAAAGATGATCACTAACACCATCAAGGCGCAGTACGAATGGAGCTCACATACCTCCTTGTTCTACTCGAAACCCTACTCCAAGAAGATTGATGCCCTAAAGATGCCAAGGGGTTATCAACCACCAAAGTTCATGCAGTTTGATGGAAAATGAAATCCAAAGTAGCACGTTGCACATTTCGTCGAAACTTGCAACAACGCGGGAACAGAGGGAGACTACATCGCTAAGCAGTTTGTGCGCTCGTTGAAAGGAAACGCCTTTAAGTGGTACACGGACCTAGAGCCTGAGTCTATCAACAACTGGGAGCAATTGGAAAGAGAATTCCTTAATCGCTTGTACAGCACCCACCGCACTGTAAGCATGTTAGAGCTGACAAGTACGAAGCAATGAAAAGATGAGCCAGTCGTGGACTACATCAACCGATGACGCACTCTAAGTCTTAACTGCAAAGACAGACTTTCGAAGACCTCCTCGATCGAGATGTGTGTTCAAGGCATGCAGTAGGGATTACACTACATCCTTCAAGGCATCAAACCACAGACCTTTTAGGAGTTAGCCACCCATGCCCATGACATGGAGTTGAGCATCGCCCATCATGGGAAGAAAGAACCGATCGTCGATTACTAGAACGACAAAGCTCTTGGGACAAAGGTGGAGAAGGCTGCGTGGAAATCCACCAAGGAAGCAATGACGGTCAACACAACTCTCGTCAAAATCTCTACACGAGGCAAGGCGATTCAAGCCAAAGCTTTTCGTAATCAAGAGATGTGTAGACGTACTTTGAATGAGCTCGAGGAGAAGACTTATCCATTCCCCTACTCTGATATGGTTGCCTTGTTGAAAGACTTGCTTAACAAAAAGGTGATCGACCTACTTGAGTGCAAACGGCCAGAAGAGATGAATCGTACTGATAGTCCAAGGTACTGTAAATTCCACCGTTTCATAAGTTATCCAACGGAAAAATGCTTCATACTGAAAGATCTCATCCTGAAGCTAGCACAACAAGGGAAAATCGAGCTTGACCTCAAAGACACGGTTGCGGCACACACTACTACTATCGTGTTTGGATCACTCGATCCTGTGCATCTCCGAAGCATGCATGACCATTCCTGTCAATGTTCAAGTCACACAGCACCTCCTACACAACCATCACCGGGGGCAAGCAACTAAGATGCATCTACTAGTGATAAGGAAGGGTGGACATCGGCGACCTACAAAAAAACGATGAAGCCAAGACCACAAGCCACAAGGCCAAAATAGGAGCTTAAACCCGCCCCTCAAACTTCAGTCTTCGACAGGCTAAATCATTCAAAACTTAGAATTTCAGCACTTGATCGCATCAGTGGTCGAGACCGAAATTTCGTCTTCAAAAGGCTTAAGACGCCAACATTGCAAAGATCTATCTTTGAAAGGTTATCAAAACCCAAGAAACAAAGCGGCACAGCTAAATCTCCTCCGCAACGGTCGGCTGTGGACAGACTTGAAGAAACTAAGAAGCCTTCTAGAAACAGAAAGACAACGCCAAAGGAAGAAAAGCTCGATAGTCTAGCAGGAAAAGACGATGTTCAAAGCTTGATTCCTTCAAGGATGAAGCGCTAAGCAGCTTTGGAGATCGACACAAAATGACCACTGAAGGTAAGGAGGCGCACCATCACCTACACCGGCCAATCTTCACACCAACAAACCTAAGAGGACCGCACTGAAGAGGAGGCCCAAAAAGACAAATAAGACGAAATCCCGGAAGAAGACGTCACTTCCGGCTCTGTCAACTCAAAATCTTCACCTCAATCGCTGGGGGCATGCTCTAAAACCATGCCAGTCAAGTCGAGTGAAGTTGAAGGATGAACTCATGTCACTCCGAAGAAACTGCACAAGAAGCATATGTCTTCTCCACAAGTGCACCTATCGGAAAGAGGGCAAAGCAACTTTCGCCAACCTCCAAAGCAATGTGAAAGTGTTGAAGATGAGGAAATTTTGACACAAAGATCGACCATGCGCGATCTCTCATTCCTCAAAAAATTATTCAGCTATTCGGTCAAGGCTCCTTGCTATAAAGATTGCAAGGAACGCCTCTCCAGGCAGCAACCATCTATTCCACAAGTTCACCAATGGGAAAGAGGGCAAAGTAGCTCATGTCAACCTCTAGAACAATGTGAAAGTGTTGGAGATAATGAAACTTTGACACGAATATCATCCATCCCCATCACGATGTGTGACATCTTCCCAGAAGACTTATTCAACTACTTAGTCAAGGCTCCTTGCTATGAAGATTACGAGGAACGACTCTCTCGGATCGCTTGACGAACAAATAACGCTCCTTGCCTGCACGAGCTAAAACTGCAACACGGCACCAACGCTCCTGGTCCGCACGAGCATAAAAGGCGACAACAAACGCTCCTTGCCTGCATGAGTTGAAACTGCAAACGGCACCAAAAGCTCATGGCCCGCAAGAGC